TGCCCGCGGGCGCCGCGCTGCTCCAGCTGCCTCTGTCTGCCTGACCCCTTAGGTGCGAGACCAAGTGTCGCAACGGGACGTACGGCGAGAACTGCGCCTTCGTGTGCAGCGACTGCGTCAACGGCGAGTGCCACTTCGAGACGGGCCGATGCCTCTGCCGCGCGGGCTCCCACGGCACCTAGTAAGTGAGCGGCGCCCGCGCACGTTTCAGGCCGTCCCGGCAATCCCAGGCTGCCAGGAGCGGATGGGCCCTGCCATTTCAGGCCCGCTGAGGTGCCAGGATGGGTGCTGAGCTGGGGAACGCGCTGGGGGTCTGCACTGGAAGCGCCTCCTGTGCAGCCGCAGAGCTGCTCTTGACTTCCTCTTGCACATCAGAAACGACCGTTTTCAAGAGCTGTTTGGGCAGGTTTCAGAGCCCGGATCCGCTGAGTAGATCCATTGATTGGAGTCTCCCGGGTACGGGGTGTTTATGGAAGCAAGGGGGCTGCAGCACGTGGTGCCGCATCCACCCCCGCTTTAGGGCTCGTGGAGAGGCAGCCTGGCACACGGCCAGGCAAACAGGCTCCTTGCGTTGCCTTGGAGGCAGCTCCTGCGGGATGTGGGGAGCACAGGGCGAGGTGTTTGCTCCCTGAGGTGTGCTGCCGTCATCCCCAAGCTGAGGAATCTGCAGGTAAGGAAGTGAACCCAGGGAGCATCGGGAATCCCATCCTGCTGCCTGCTTGTGGCAGAGGAAAACGTGTGGGCAGTGGTGGCGGGTGGCATGTTATGCCATGCAAAGGACTTTGGAGAGCTTTGGAGAGCAGGTGTCCTCCTGCAGAGACCCCAGCAGTGCCCGCAGGGTTCGCGGTCACATCCCGCCGAGCTGTGGTACAAATCTTGGTCTCCCAGTAATAGCTGCATGGGCCAGAGTCGGCGAGGAGTTCTTGAGAAAGGGGCTTTGCTTTAGGAAATGTGAGCTTGGCAAAAACAAATGCCTGCCTCCAGAAAGTGTTTTTGAGTTCAAGATGGAATTTCTAGTCAAAAAGGAGAGTGAGGGAAAGCAAGAAGAAAAACCACATCCCAGAATAGCAAATAGCCTCACAGTTATGGCATCCGCTTGTCGCTCCTGCTCCGAACTGCAGCTCCAACCTGGACATTTCACACGCAGGGATGAGCCCTGCGGCCGCCCCTTCCCTTTCCCCCTCCCCAGAGAAAGGAAACGAAGGCCCTTTGCTCGCACAGAGCTCCCGTGCGAGCTCTGCACCCCTTCCTCCCGCGGCCTCCGCGCACAGGGATGGCCGGACACAGTCTCATTCCTTCTCCCTTTTTTTTTTTTTCCAATGTGGAACAGAAAAGTCTTTCGAAAACGTGAGGAAACTGTTTCCCCTGCAGCTCAGGCTTGGCCATGAGTTTCCCCAGGGTCCCACCATGTGTCATTCTGCTTTTCCCAGCAATTAACTGCGAGGCTGATGGCGCCTGCAGAAGGGCTTGGGGCCTGCCCGGCTGACTGGCAGCCGGTGCCAGCAGTTCTCCGGGGTAGCTGAAATGAGGAAAATTTGGATTTGGGAATTTTTCTCACTTTTTCCTTCTTGGGACTGGCTGTCAAGAGCCATGATGGAGCAAAGAACTTGTTCGTGACCTCCAGCCCTCAGAACATGCCCCACCGTGCTGGCAGCTCTGCAAGTGCCCGTGTTTTGGAGATACCCATCGTAGCTCCGAGGTCTTTGCATGCTGGTCTGGAGTGTTGCTAAGCCCTCACCTTAGCTTCTCTGTTGTCTTTTCGGGGGGATCTGTGCAGTATTTGTGCCCTTCTATGCATGGTGAAGGATTTGCACAGATGACAGTGGAAGCTGCCTGGCTGGGAAGTAGCTTTGCAGAAACAAAACCAAACTAGAAAGCCCCTGTTTAGCATCTGTGCTGCTCTGGTTGCAAAGGAGGACATTCCCAGCACATTGGGAAGGTTTTGAGGAGGAGATTGGGTTTTGCAGAACTCAAATTAAGCTCTTAAAACCACCCCTGGAGCATGAGAGCTCAAGGTCCCTCGGTGGCACCACATGTTGTAGGATGCCCATGTGCAGCACTGCTCTTGTCCTTGCTGGATCTGTCCTCAAGGTGCAAGCAGGGAGAGAAGGGGCAAAAGAAAGGCAGGGAGAAAGAGGTGGTCAGGGCCCTGCCCCGGCAGCAGCCCGAAGCTGTAATCACAGGGAAAGTTGTGCTAAAACAGGACATGCCACTGGGCATGGACACTTGGGGGCTCTCTTTGGTGGTCAGGCACGTCTCCGTGACTATGTGCAAACTGCTGAGGTTTTTTTTTTTTTTTTTTCCCCTAAGCTTGTAATTTGGCCAAATATAGGAAGACTTTGGAAAGGATGGCAAAAGGGCTGTAGGGGCGTCCTCTCGGCTGTGTGTCACCCAGATGCTGAGGGGAAGGCTGGTGACACGTTGTGATGTACACAATGCGATTTACCTCCTCAGCATCATCCGCAGAGGGGTGCGGGCCTGCTTGGAAAACAAATAATCCCATCTTTTCAGGCCCACAATCTGCTAGCCTGGGACAGACCTTGGAATCAAACCGATGCGAGAGCTGCAAGCCGAGGCAGGCTCAGTAACTGCAGCAACGGGTACTGTGGGCTGCCTGGAGAGCGTCGCTGCCCCCATCCCTCCGTCCTGCCACGTGTTTGCTGTCCCAGCACAGCTGCTCCGAGCAGCTGGGCGCCTGCACAGGCTGCCGCCCGCGCCCGGCGCGTGGCAGCGTGTGGGCACGGGGCTGCGCTTTGAAAGCCGACGCAGCATGAAATGCCTTTAGTCAGGGCCAGCCCAGCTGCACGGCCTGCGGGGCCCGAGGGCAGCTGGAGGTGGCTGGCCCGCATGGATGGAGCAGATGTGTCTCCTTGGGTCGGTGCCGCCCAGGAGCAGCTGGCAAGAGCTCGGCATCTGGCAGCGCTGCCTTGGTGGTGGAGCCTGTTGCTGCTGCAGAGCTTTGGAGCCATCCGAGTTCCCTGCCGAGGTACCCAGGAATGAAGCTTCACCCGCTGGGGTCTCGCATCTCCCTGTGTGCTCGGCTTTTCCCTCCACTGGAGCCTTTGGCCATGATTCCCAAGCCCAGGAGAGCTCCCAGGGCAGTGTTCAGGACGAGCTGGCAGAGGCAGGTGGAGGATGTGAGTCCCAGGCCACTCTGTCCCCATGTTTCTTTGTCCATGGCTCAGCTCCAACGCTGCAGTCTGTGCATCGTGACACTGGCCAGCTTTGTTTTGCTTCGTGTTTGACCTGCTCCTTTCAAATTATGGCCCAAGTCCTATAATTAAAGCCCGTGGCTACGTCTTCTGCGGCCGTTGCAGACACTTAGTGTCAAAGACAAAACAAAAACATTTCCTCCGTACATGCCGGAGGCCGTGGGCGTGCGGTCGCTCCCTGCCCTGTGTGGGCCGCGCGCTGCAGGTTGCTCTCTGCTTGCAGGAGCGGCTTCGCTGCGAGGTGACGGGTCTGCCCCCGAGCAGGCACCGCGGCTCGGCCGCCTTCCAGAGCTTCCACCCCAGCCCCGTGGAGCAAAGTGTGCGAGGAAGGGGGAGTCTGGGTGCTCTCGGAGCTGTCCCCTGTGCACAGCCACCCGGGTGGGTGGCGGGCCGGGATGGAGGCCGGTGCTGCAGGCCTCACCATGTCCAAGGTGGCACTGACGGAGAGCGAGAGCCTCGAGCGCTTTTGCGTGTGTTTAGCACGTTTCCCGTGCGCAGGTGGCCACTCTGTTTCTCCGCAAGCCCCTCGGGCCGAGGAGCTGCCGCCCTCTCCCAGGAGCTGCCGTTCTGTGTGAGGAGACCTGGTGGCAGCTCGGCTCCAGCGAGACTTGGCCCTACGAAGCAAATGCCTCGGCCATCTCTGCTAGGGGCTGGTCATGTTGTTTGCCCTCTGGGAGGGAAAATCTGGGAGCCTTCCCAGCGGCAGGGGAAGGGCTCCGCTCCGAACGCGGGGAGACGTGGGGCGCTGGCACCATGTCACCCACAGAGCAGCTGAGCTCGAAGCCAGGCCCGAGACTCTGGGGACCAAATGCTGCCGCTCCTTAAATGTGACCGATGGGCCGATGACCTTCCGTAACCACCCCGCCATGAACGTAAAAGCGCAGCCTTGCAACACGGGAGCAGAGGGGCATCCCAAGGCACGGGGGGACGCACAGCACGAGCCCTTCCGTGGGGCACCGGGGCTGCAGGGCCACCCCAGCTGCCGTACCCT